GGAATCCTGTCTGTGCTGCATCTTCTGCAAACTAGTTGGTTTTCGCATGCAAGTCTTCGAGTTTGTGTGAAATTAAATATAAATCATCCACACGCGAAATACAGATAACCTAAAACCGTCTTATCGGTTCATCATATTCCTGACTTCTCACCCCCGACAACCTTTCACTTGATCCAGTCCATAACAGTTATGGATCACCTGATATTTGGCACTGTCATATAGCCAGCTTTTGAATGGGATTGATAAAGGTTTGTGCATTTTACTCCATGGTTTGAAGTAATTTTTAATTTGGTTTACCGTCAACGCTGTCGAAGGCCTAAAGCTCATGGAAAAACTAGTACTTCTTAAACTTGAACCCTCCCTTAAAAGCTTCGAAGACCCCAAACAATTTGCCTACAGACAGGGTAGGAGTACTTTAGACGCTGCAGCCGTCTTACACAACAGTATTGTCTCATCATTAGACATAGGTGCCAAATATGTCGGCTGCACGTTTCTTGACTTCACTTCTGCTTTCGACTTGTACCTAGATGTCTCTTGCTAAATAAACTCTCCATGACACAAACCGAGTCCTGGGTCACTAACTGGTTGCATTCCTACTTTTCAAACGGAACGCAGTAGACCGTATACAAAGGCGAATCCTCCTCTGCTGTGCTCACTGGAGCTGGTGTCCCCCAAGGGCTGTACTCTCCCCACTTCTCTTTTCATTCTTCCTACATGACCTACCATCTTAAAATGACATTAACTTTGTCAAATATGCTGACGACCTAACTGTATCTTTACCTGTCAAATGTCAAAGTGACTGCTCTAAACTAAATCGCTTCTTATCAGAAATCAGCCAATGGTCCAAGGAAAACGGTCTCATCTTAAACCTCTCCAATGCTAAACAGTTAATTTCACCTTTAGGCACAAATCTGACCTAAACAAACTGGTTAGCACTCACGAGGTGTGCAACATAGATGGCACTGAAATTGAAACCAAGTCGGAAGTTAAATACCTAGGCGTCACTCTATCTTCTGATCTTTCCTGGTCGTCTCATATCTTGACGATTTCTAAGAAAATATTCCGTCTTACCTTCTACATGAAGAAGTTAAGACTTTCTGGTGTAACCCAACCCTTACTCCTACAATTTGTTAGCTCCCGTATTCTGCCTATTATTCTCTATTGTTCCCCTTAGTCTTTCCTGGGCTATTGAAGAAAGACTATACCTTATTACGTAGGATGTTAAAGGTTGTCAGCAGGGTAAGCAGTTTGCCACTTAGCCAGCTCGTTAATATTCTGGTGGACAGGCACATGGACTCATGTGAAAAATGGGCAAAAACCATTTCATCCGACTCACAACACCCTCTACATTCACTACTCTCCCCATGTATCTCTTCAGGGAAAACCAGAAGCCTATATAGGAAACCATATGCCCGCACTAGCAAGAACAAAAACTCATCCATACCCTACCTAGCTCGTGTTCTGTGCGATATAGAAAGCGTTAGGCGGGAAACCTTTAACTTATTAAATAGTCAGTCGAACAAGGGGATCTCGTCTTTCCAAGTCACATCATTTACACGTACAACGTTTTTTCTCTACCTTTTTTTGTTATGTGTTGTTTTGTTTCTCTTTTCCTTACAAACTCTACTTAAAACATTCTTGTTCGTTCTTTCACACTCTGTATACCTCGACCATTTTGCTATCGCTTACGCCAGTAAATAGGCTAGTAGTATCTACTTTTCAAACTTTCTGTTTAAATTTTGGCTTTGCTACCGACTTGCTAATATTTTGTTGTCAAAACTGAGTGAGATAACCTTAATCTATGTAGAACTATATTTATTGTTAATGTACTAACTGGATGAAATATTGTAGTAAAATGCTGAGAATTCCATTCTGTATCACAAGTACTGATTTGGAATAAAGCTCACCTTATCTTATCTTATCTTACGAAGTCAATGAAGTTGAGGTAGATGTTTGACTGCATTTCTATGCTCTGTACGATGATGATGCGTTGAGTTGCAATTTGATCCACAAATGATTTTCTTTTCTTGAACCCAGCTTGTTCTGGGCCGGCGGATTTCTGCATCCAGTGCATGTTTTATTCTCTCCAGGATGACGGCACTTAGTATTTTACCCGGTATGGATAAGAGCATGATTTGGCGCCAGTTCTTGAAGAGGTCTTAATCTCTCTTCTTTGTTAGTCTGACAAGGTAACCTTTCTTCCAATCAGCAAGTATCTTTCCTACCTTCCAAACTTTCTGAAATTCTGTTTCAAGCGATAGTCGATTCAGGAGTCTTTTGAAGTAATCAGCACATTGTTTCCTTTGTTTCTCCTTTTGGACAATTACGTCCCCTTGACAATTTGTGTTCATCTTTTCAGGAATAGAGACTTCATCAACTGATATAACGCCCTGAGGTCTCTTTTAGCTGCAGCCTGTTCTGCTTCATTCTGCAATGAGCAATAGAATCGCCTTTTGTCTTTCTTCCCGTTCTTCTTCACCTCTTTATTCAGTGCCATGCACATAAAACACGGCTTCTCCTACTGTTGTCCATTTTCACATTGGTTCATCTTCTGTTTTACCATCTTTCTACCTTCTGTTAGCATCCACTTGTCCGTAGAGAGCCATTCCTTGTCTTTCCTCTTCTTTCTTCTAAAACAGCTACATTTGATTGCTTAAACATCACTTTCACAGAGAATAATAAATGGAACTGTAACGCCAGTCAGCTTTTCCACTATCTGCTGTGACACGAATTCCGCCCTCTCTACCAGTGGTACATAAGTTCAACATATAAGGATAACATATAGTTTCTAACTCCCGTTAGCATCATCTGAACTAGAAAAAAATTCGAAGATGTCTCTCGCATTGTGACTTACAAGTTGTTTTTATAGTGACTGTAAGAGTTCATCTAGCCACTTTGCATCTCCACAATAGCAGGAAGTAGCTAATCTAACTGGATATCTTTCCCCTAAAATCACTGTCGAAATCTGCTGCACTCAAAATAAGCAACATGATACGGATCTTCAGCACAAATGCTAAATAAGTGCTTCCATATAGTTCAAAGACTTGGAGCGTCAAAGAAAGCATTTCCAATAGTCTGTGGCATGCTTTGATCAACAGCTGCCTACTTTTCATACTGAAGATCAAATGGGTGGTCAGAGAAGATAAGTAGTAAGAAACTTTGACAATGAACCAACCAAGAACTTATCACCCACCAAATATGGGAAAAGAAATGGAGGTGAACTGGACATACCCTGAGGAGACCATTGATTGATATAGCGCGCCAGGCCTTTAAGTAGAATTCGAATGGAGGCAAAACAAGTTGAGCATTCAAGGCTGACATGGAGGAGATCATGTGAGAAGGAAATGAAACCTCATGGGCAGTCGTGGAAGCAGTTTAAAAAAAGATTGCAGAGAACAGGGAAAAATGGAGATGTGCTGTTGAAGCCCTATATTCCACTTGTCTAAAGTTCACATGAGACAGAGTCAGGTATTTGATTAGTCCTAAATAGAAAGAAATACACAAGCTTAGTTCTTTTGCTAATCTATTTTACTATACTTAAACCATAACTAATTAATACAAAGACAAAAGTTTATTGGTGGATTTCATTAGTTTCAATTTGTTTACTTTCAAACAATGTCAAACATCCTTCCAGTATTTTGATGGCACAGATTCGACTAACGAACTTCTGTCAACTACTTAGAGCATGCTTCAACTATTCATACCAAACGGGTAGTGTTTTTATTATTTTTTTTTAAATTGTATTCCTTTACGTTCCCAGTAGAACACAGGGCTCAGTCTATGGCTTTGAAGTGGCGTTTTATATTTACAGGGTAGAGTTGTTAGCCTCATGCCCAACCTTTCCTCTTTACTGGTCCTATTATCCACTTAGCGAGGTAAAGGAGCACGTCGGGCTGTGATCGAACTCTGTGCCATATGCGTGGTTGGAGAGCGTTTTGTTGCTAAGCCACCGATGCTAAAGGGTAGTGTAGTGTAGTATAATGTAGTACAGCATTACATAGTCAGTACAGAATGGTTTAGTGCAGCATAGTATGATACAGCACTGTATAGCAAAGTATAGTATAGTACAGTTAGTATAGTATAGTGTAGTGTAGTATGGTGCAGTATAGTGTGAATATATTCATGTATACATTGCATTTATTTGGGATAATGGTGACTATCAGTGGGATGTCCTGTTTGTGACTCAGCAACTGGATTGAGTGATGGTACTCCCACTGAGACGGCAACCATACACTCACCTGTCAAAAAGAACGAAAAGCACATCCTGGATTCCACTGCTAGACACCAAAAACCAAAATAATTAAACTCTAATCAGTTTTTACTGTCATTTCATCTTTTTTCACCAAGTTGGAAAGATAAAGTCACCTTATAAGTTCATGATAGTGTCATACAAATGTCTAAATTAAGTGTGCTATAAGCGACAACAATAACAGTACATAAATAATGCCTACTAGTCATCACTCTTTTACTGTGTGATATCTATGTTTATGATCATTTTATATTTGTCATAACACATACTTCGTGAATAAGGTCTACCTTGAATCTATTATACTTAGAAAAGTGGTGATTATTAGATAGACATACAGACATACGCACACTCACACACACACATACACATTTGAAGGCTGAATGTGCACCATTAAGAGTCATATTCACATGATTGTCTCTCTATCATTCTGAGTTAATTTTACACATACACTAAATAAAGATTTAATCATCCACTTATTCCGTGATATATCGCTGAGTACGATGGCCTTTCAACACTCACTATGCATTATTATATAAAGAGGTATATAAATATGAGCTGAATTCATCCTATATTTAATTATTGTGTAACTAAATCATTTCATCTACTGTTACCTTAATCATATCATCATAATTTATTCTGCTGTTACAAGTGAATAACACTTTGTGAAATAATTAATCCTAGTGGAAACATCAAATTTAAAAGCATAGTCTGTATAACTTTAAACAATATTATAACCTTGAAAGAAATCAATATGTACGATCAAACTGAAGTGGAATATCTTGTCAATCTAATAATCAGTACACAGAAATCAGCAAAATCTTCATTATCCTATAAAGATTATCGTAGTTCATCGTACGATTCACGTTTTCCTGCATCCACAGTCCCATCACTGGAGGTACCAACAGAGTCTTCCTCCTCCTCATCCCTAAGTAAGTTAATACATTATTAATATTATATTATATTATTGGATGAATATTTGATTTTCTTAACCTTATTTACCTGAAGAAACTCACTTTTAATCAAATTACCTAACCATCAATAATGCATTCAGAACAGGAATCTCATGATGATGGTATTCTAATCTTGGAAACAGTTGACAAAAGGAGTCCACGGCAGCTTCATCATTTGTCCTATTAGTTGAGTTTTCTTCGTGATAGGAAGTATGTAAAAATTTGTAAATTACTGGTAAATAGGCTACATTCAGCAGTGTTTATCGATTTGTATACATGGAAAAAACTGTTACATAATACATGACAGTAAGGAGTGTTAATACAAAACCTGTGTTCACCATTTTCAAAAGCATTTTGACGACTTAAACGCTATTTATGCCGACTAATCGTCGACTGATGGCACCTAGAATGTTTCTAGCCTTTTCAAATGTATTCTACTTCATTCATGTTTGAATAGTCTGACGACATAAAGAATACTATCAGTTCTTATACCCTAAATTCTTGTGTCATTTGTCTAGTTCACAATAATATAATACTCCCTTTTTGGTTAGCGTTCTTTACAGTTTTTACAATATGGTATCAGTTTTGAATATTTCAATTTCTAATCTTTTTTAATCTTTTTAATCTGTTTGATGCATTCACTGTCTTATGCATACGTTAGTACCTTTTAAGTTTTATATAACTATACCTATTGCTTAGTTTTCATTTCCTATGATTCTGTGAATTTCACATTTCTAATGACAATTCAAATCAGAGAACATTCATATATTGTGACAGATCATTGAATCCAGTTGAGTAAACAAAGAGATAGCCTGAAGTAGAATGGAAAGTGCTCTTATGAGAAAGAGTAACATAAATGTGATTTCGGAAATCGTTCACCAGTATCATGAAATAATCGAAAATGTCGATATTTTTAAAATATGAGAAGTTTTCCCAGAAACGGATTTTCGTTTGCCAGATGGTAGCACTCAGGTATTCATGCAAGTTAACAATTCTAGTTAATTCCATTTGGTTTCAGCATTTGACTTTCAGTTGGTGCATACGAATCTTATCCCGGCGAATTTAGTTTGACTAACTGAGTAGTGGTATCACAAGATGTCACATATACTATGTGACTCATAACTTGACACATGTAGAACCTCAGCTCTAAGTGACTAGTCAAGTTGTCTATCAAGAGGTTTATTTGCCACTTTATGAGCCACGTATAATGTGTGACGGTTGGTGATACTCTATTCAACCGCCTAAGCTAAATTTGGCGGGACAGGATTCAGATACCAGATCCATACAGATAATGTCAGATGTTAAAGCCAATGAGGTTCACTAGAATAGTTAGCGTCGACGCATGTCTCATTCTATAATCTTGGCGAAATCTGATAAATCGGTTTAAAATCCAGTTTCTCATTCTCCGAAAATATCGACATTTCCGATAAAAATTATTCTGCTAAATAGACTTCAATTTAATAGTTATAATAATGGGTTTATTCTGAAAAGTGTGTTTGCATACAATACAGAATTTTCAGCAGGTTTCTTCGCAAGGTATTTACCCCTTGTGCAGAATTTTCAAATACTATAATAATCGATAATATATCATCTGAATCAATATTTTTTCCATTTATATAATATGCTCAAATGTTAATTCACAATGTTCTTCCTCGATTTCCTTTAAAAGAGTCGCCTAGCGACAGGTAGAAACTTATTTGAAATTATGTGCGAGTATAAATTGCGACTCATTATGGTAATAAGAAGATTGAAACAACAACTTGAAACGGAGTAAACCTAATGACTCGAAGATCTATTATTGTTACATGTTCACTTGCAAAGCTTCAATTATCTTTTTAAACAACATCTTCAGCGCTAACTTCAATATAAAGTGAACGTATTTGAATTCGTCCTAAATATGTGGGTAGGGGGGGGTGGCACAGCGGTTAAGACTCTTGCCTACCAAGCACATGGTTCGTGGTTCGATCCCCTGCCGATGCAAACCAGATATTAATGGTCGGCCTGCAAAATTTGGGCTACCGATATCCATGCTGAAAATTCCATACTTGTACCAAAAGTACGGTGTGAAATCAAGCTATAATAAAAAAAATAAAATAAATAAATTGATGTCTGTACTGAAGATGTCAACTACAAGGACAATAAAAGCTTGGTAATTAAACCATTGGGCTTAAAAAAGCAACTATATTAAAATAGACCACCTGAGCTACAAATGTAGAGTTTACTATGACTTCAATTGTCATCGGAAATATGAAAGCTATCTGACAGTTTAATCTGGTACAAACACAAAGATCTGAACACTGTAGCCTTGCCACACACCCGTCTCCGTTTATTATAACACATTGTATAATACAAAAGTTTGCACGCTGTTTTTGAATTTCATCTCTAGAATGGCTATTTCAACAATAAATTATCTCATGATAAACAGTCTTGTAGATGCAGAAAAGGCATATGATTTCACAAAGTACTTTACTGTTTGTTGTTTTTTCTGTTTAAAAAGTCAAGCTTTGTGTTTTATCACTGAATGGGAAATCATACAATTCACAATTAGTGTACCCTAAAAACAGTAATTTGAATGTGTTCCTCAATAGTCAGTAGTTTACAAGACATTTTTAAAAGAAACAGTCACCTTCAGTAGTATTAAAAATAACCAGGGAAATATTGTACCGTTTGAATTGAATTTCATGCTATTGTACCCACTGATAAACTTAAACAGAATAAGAACATGTGTAGGAGGAGGACAATATGAGATCGTTTTCTTTCTGTTTTACCGATTCACGGATTCTGTCCAGCTGCTTATAACGTTTAAATAGTAGCAAAATATGTGAATGACAGAACAATGTTTGAACAAGGTTCTAATAAGTTGACAATAAATTGTTGATAGAATCTGTCAATAACACCATTTCCGAATGATGTAAGTACTGAAAAGTTTGATCAAGAAAATGGGAGACTAAGTTGCTCACAGGCACAAAATGATGCAACGGCAACCCATCTATTGACCACTTATCATATAGTGGACAGTCTGAAACTGTTTGAAATAATCAGCCGTTAAAAGAAATCTAGTCTGCTACGTTTTTGCTCAAGCAATCTCCATCAGTTAACTAAAGACATGGACAGCGACAGCAGTTAATCTTGCACTACCTTGATGATTATACTTGTAAAACAGATGTATTTGACTTTTATTCATGTATTCTTTTATATCTTTTGTTGAGTTGAAAAATTTCTTCAATTTGAAAGTTACCCATTCTACTCTTTTTATCATTGTGAAATATTTCTGTAGTCATACAACAACCTCTTTCTGGTTAATCTTTGTTCCTGTGATAAATTTTGAACTCTGCAGTTTTTTTATGAATATTCGTGTGACTCTCTTATAAGTTTACTATAGTTGGTGTGTAAGGATTAGTTTTGCTTTTACGAGTTGATCACGGATTGATATCAGTTATTTCGGCGGCGGCCTGTTTGACATCTGGGCTACCTTTTTCGTGCATCTACATATTGCATCTAATAAGTCATGTTTTCATTCCTAATTTTAATAAAATATGATCACAAATCGCATAAAATACAGTAATTCATTCATTAAACGTTTTAAACCATATGACTTTCATGCAACTAATAATGCATCTAATAAATCTAAGAGAAAACATCATGCTGGCTGGCAGCGTGCACTTAAACAGACACCTTTATATCGTACAACCATTCCTGTTATTGTCACTTCAAACTGCCGTTCACTTCCCAACAAAATTATGCATCTCCAGTCTCTCTTATCATCTGATACTTATCACAATACGGCGATTGTTGCATTACAAGAAACATGGCTCCATGAACTCTATGATGACAATCTGGTTTCCCTAAATGGTTTTACATTGTTTAGACAAGATCGACTATGCTCCAGAAAGAAAAGAGGTGGAGGTGTTGCAACTTTCATTCATTCTCAATGGTCAACTTCAAATAATGTATGTTTTTCTTACTCTAATGACTTTATTGATTGTATAACGGTCAAATGCCGCCCGAAACATTTATCCAAATTCAAATACGTCTTCATCTCTAACATTTATGTTACTCCTGGCTGTTCTGCATCTGATCTATCTGATTTTGCTGATGAATTCACTGAATTTGCCGTTACACATCTTGAAAACTCTTTATCAGTTGTCACAGGAGATTTTAACTGCTGTGATTGTTCTTTCCTCGTATCATTAGGTCATGCCAATATTGTTAAATTCCCTACTCGACTTGATAAAACCCTTGACCTGGTGTTCATTAATGATGAGGAAATATATGAAGTACGCCGACGTGCTCCTATCATGAACTCAGATCATTGTATTATTCGGATATTACCTAAGATATACAGCAGATCTCACTTTAATATCTTCTCAAATCTGTCCAAGAGAACACAGCAAAGGTGTTACTCACAAGAAAATATGCTCAAACTAAGATGTATGCTAAATGACACTAACTGGGAACTTTTCAACGAACACAAACTGGATGATACTATTTCCAATTTGACTGACTATCTTAAATTCTGTCTTGATATATGCTGTCCAAAACAGATAATTTTCAAAAGAATGGATCGTTTTTCTTCCCCTCATCTCAAAAAACTTCGTAGAGAAAAAGAGAAGCTGTACAAGACAAAGAATAAATCTGGTCTTAAGAAGATAAACACCCAAATTAAATCTGAAATCAAGAGACTAAACAACATTTATAATCAAACAATACTATCTTGTAAAACCTCAGAAAACATATGGAAGCTTTTTAGAGAAATTACTGGTTGTGGTAAGCATAATAATTTTGCCTCTTCTATTGATGTAAATACTCTCAATAGATCTTTCATCCGCCCTCCAAATGTCCTTTCTGCCTTCAATTTAACTAATAACACGACCAGTGACTTTCATCGTTTCAATACTTCTGATGTTCTTAAATGTTTGAAATCTCTTAAACCTTCCCAGAGTCTAGGCCCTGATGGTATACCTGCCATTGTTTTAAAG